TCATCCTTCACTGGTGCCCCGCCGGTGTATACCGATAGCGCGGGTGGGGTTACCATACCATTTTCACCCATCAAAAAAAAAAAAAACATCTAATCTAACTAATATAATGTTAGTTACTACATTTATTGTGTAAATAATGTTAAAGTGAAATATAATAGAAATGCTACTGTGCCTCTATTACGCATCAACAGAGAATAATGTAAAATAGCACTGTTGCTAAGTACCCATTTGTTCGTACTCCAATCCAGCAAACGTTCTTGATTAATAGTAGCATTCCCGTGATGAATGGTGATACAGCTTAGCGATTAACGATGCAATCGGAATCGGCCTATTAAATGCTATTGGTTGCACACAATAGCTTTTGTTTGAGGCTTTTTGCAGTCACATATACACGGATAGATGGTGTATTTGTTGTTATGTATGATATTTCGAGCTTTTAGTTGTGTTTTTTTAATGAATGAATGAGTATACTTTATTTGCATTATACAATATAGGGAATAAGCAAGACAATTTACAAACACAACGATACAATTGTATAAGTACAGCAAGGCGGTCTTATTGCTGAGTGCAATCTTTTCAAGACAACCTTAAGGTTATAATGGACTAATTGTTGTACAAATAGGTATGATAGTGCTGTATAATTAAAAAAGCATCTTTTGCAAATTAAAAATATATGAAAATTATATACATATATACATACATACACACACACATACATATATATATATATATATATATATATATATACACACATACACACATATACAAACATATACACACACACATACATATACATATCAATCAAACAAAATTATATAATCCCATGCATATATGTTAAATATGTACCCAATACTAGGATATATTTTAATAAAAAAATAGTCGCAATAGTAATAATGTTTTATTTGATTAAATCGTCAAGATAGACAATGTCTTTGATATAAACTATAAACACATAAGAACATTGTAGTCGAATTGTATACTACCTAGACGTACTTGGTCGTGAGTTTTAATTTGAAAAAAAAAAATTTAAATACAAATCAAATAAATTTGAGAAACGACTGTTTTTTAATACAACTTAGAACGGCAAACAAGCTGACAGCCCACCTGATGGAAAATGGTAACCGTCGCCTATAGACATGTGCAGTACTATGGACATAACAGAGTATACTGTTTCGTCCATGATACCCTTCATGCGTTGCCATTCCTGAGGACTCAGGTGTTATTCCTCTGTACCCAGTAAATTCACGCCATATTCCACCCTTCAAAACGAAACACAGCAATGTAAACAAAACGGCTTGTCGGTAGAAACACAAATGGGACAGAGGTATTTTTATTAATTTATTTTTTATATTATAAATACATATATGTTTTATTAATGCATTCTGCTATTTACATCTGATTTACCCATACATAAATATATTTTAAATACCCAATTAAGGAGAATCCCATTGCTAGCAATATATTATTTATTTATTTATTTATTTAACACTTTATTGCACCAACATAACATGATTTGTTAAAACAATTTTCAATACGTATAGTGTAGTACAAAAGGCGGTCTTATAAGCAATCTCTTCCAGACAACCTTTGGGTAGAAAGGATTAAAGCATAAGTAGGTAGGTGGCGCTTTAAAAAAGATAGATTTGTAAAAAATAATATTTGTGACAGCATAGTCATATACATATACATACATAAATAAACACATACAACCAAACATATACATATATATACATACACATACACATATAAATATATATACATACATATACATATATACGCATAAATACATATAAATATACCATATTAATACACATATATATAACACACATAAAACTGGAAATACGTAGGACTAAGTGATTATAAGGATAGGTAGTGGGCTTTAACTAAGTTTTTAAAAATGGGCAACGATTGAGCGCACCGTATAGAGGTAGGGAGTGAGTTCCACAAACGAACTGCTTGCACGGAAAAGGATTTGGAGTAGAAAGAGGAAGAATGGGTAGGAATTATGAGTTGGAGGTTGTCAGTACTACGTAAAGAATATGAATTAGAATTGCTCTCTCCAAGAAACATAAAACGTTCTTTTAAATAATGAGGTGTAACTGGATTAAAGAGAATTGAGTAAAGAAGGGAAAGGATGTGCCAGTTACGACGAAGACGGATAGAGAGCCACTTGAGTCGTGTACGATATTGGGATACATGGTCATATTTGCGAAGTCCAAATTTGAACCGTATACATAAATTTTGAAGACGCTCAAGTTTATTTAACTGCTCTTCAGTGACATTTGAATAACAGGAATCGGCGTAGTCAAGGATGGGGAGGAGCAATGTATGAGCAAGCGCAATTTTGGTATCCATAGGAAGAACCTTACGCAACCTGTAAAGGGATCCAGTTGCCGCAAACATCTTCCTGCTAATCTCAGCAATCTGAGGTGACCAGGATAAAGTACTATCAAAACAAATGCCGAGATTTTTAACGCGGTCGCTGTAGTTTAACTTCATTCCATTAAAAACTACAGAAGGAAGGTCATTCAAAGCCACTCTGGAAATGTAACTAGGGCTACCTATGATTATAACCTGGGTCTTGGTCGGATTTACAGCAAGACCATAGGATTTGCTCCAGACAGATATACGTTCAAGGTCTTCGTTTATTGTATTTACTGCAACAGAAATATTAATAAGAGGAGCCCGGCAGTAAATTTGAAGGTCGTCTGCATAAAGATGGTAGGAAGACCGAAGCTGAGATGTGATATTGTTGATAAATAAGGCAAATAAAAGAGGAGATAAGACGCCACCCTGGGGCACGCCCGCAGATGTACTGCACCAAGATGACAAAGAGTCGTTGATACGAATACGCTGCCGACGTCCAACCAGGTAACTACGAAACCATTCAATTGCCGTTGGAGATATGTTGAGAGAAGTCATCAGTTGCAACAAAATGTCGAAATCGACGGTATTAAAAGCATTACTGAAATCTAATAATGTTAAAACTGTCAGCTCTGAGCTATCCATTCCGAAACGGATATCATCAGAGATCTTTACAAGAGCAGTAGTCGTGCTGTGACCTGCGCGGAAACCAGATTGCAAAGGATTAAGAAGGTTATTTTTGGACAGAAACAAGTTGAGTTGCTGATGTACTAACTTTTCCAGAGCTTTGGAAAGGAAGGGAAGAATGGATATAGGTCGATAATCGGAAAAAACTGTGGGGATATTTTTTTAGGTAGGGGGATAATAAAGGCTTCTTTCCAGATATGAGGAAAAATACCTGAGGATAATGAATTATTAAAGAGAAAAGTAATAGTTGGCAGCAGGATATCAAGGATAGGCATGATCATAGCACGACTGATGTTGTCAGTACCCAGAGCATTAGAAGATATTGACAGTAAGCTTCTCTCAACATCACAATCGGACAATTGTCCGAAAACAAAAGGAGTGTAATCAGGAGTTGGAAGCGAAGAAAGATAATACAGTGTTTTTAATTTGTCATTAGGAACAACAATAGAAGAGGAACAAAAATGTCTATTAAGGTTCTCAATATCAATACTAGTGGAACTCTCATTGTGTTTTTTTCCAACTCCTAAAGATTTAAGAAATTTCCAGACTTTTGCTGGATCTCCATTCTCAACAGATTTATGGATGTGGCGACGTTGGGCCTCCCTACACATCTTATTGCAGAGATTTCTGATGCGCACGTAGTTGTCACGATATCTGTCTGGGTCTTTTTTAAATTTAGTTTTAGCATTATTTTTCTTGTTTATGATAGCTCTAATATCCTCAGTGAGCCAGGGCGCAGGCAGATGTCGGACTCTGACGGGACGGATTGGGGCATGCCGATCATAAAGGTCAAGAACGAGTTGATTAAATTCTTGTATCTGTATGTTTACACAACCTATATTTGCAATAGATGACCAGTCACACTCCGATGCATCTTTTCGCAAACGGTCCATGTCAATGGCCCCAAAATTGCGCTGCATGAGGATTCTACGCTTTAATTTAGGAGGACGGATTTTATAGGAAAGGTATAAGAGATTATGAAAGGAAAAAGCATCAGCGGTGTGCTGACCAAACTTGGAAACATGTTCGGGAGATGATACAAGGATTAGGTCAAGTAAGGAAGGATTGCAATTCGGAAAAAAATGGGTTGCTTGGAGAGGCAAAATATTTAAATTACAAGCACTGGCAACAGACTTAAGACGGTAAGCTCGGCTATCATTTTTCAACAGACAGGTGTTAAAATCCCAACCAGGTCGACCTCCTCGCGGTTCTCTCTAGAAACTATCATGGTTAATTCCTGATGAATTCATCATGATGGGCTAACTGGCCTGTTTTCATTCTCAAGTGAGAATGAAAACAGGCGGAGCACCAGTGAAGTCACTGGTGCTCCGCCAGCATATCCCGTTAGCGCAGGCGGGGTTACCATACCATTTTCACCCATCAAAACAAAACCCAATTAAGCATGCTGTATCACGTAGTCTAATATATACAAAAACATATAGTACCTACTAGTAATTTATAATTAGGCGTCATAATTGGGTAGCGTTTGAGGTCACACTAAATCCTCCGGTACCTTTGGAATAGTCGTTTTTGGTCTGAATTTGAATTGGTTGCTACATTATTTATATTATTTTAAATGCTAATTAAAGACAGCGTTTCAGTTTACTGTTATATGACTATGTGGTTATTTTAATGATTTACTTTTAAACACTAACTTTAAAAAATGCAAAGGTACCAAATGTAGTAGTGTAGCCAGTAGTTGCCACGCTTGACAGACGGATGTTTTAAAAGGGATGCTGCTGCCCATCTCGCTACTATAAGCTCATTTAGTCACCTCTTACGACATCCACGGGAAACGAAGGGTTGGCCCATTCTATGCCGGAATTACACGCCAATATACAATATATAATATATATACATACATTCTCGTATTAAAAAAAAATAAAAGTTACAGACCTAAGTATCCTTACATACAAATATTTTTTTTTTAAATAAAGCTGTATACACACCTGCGGGAACAATTTGAAAGACACACGGCCGCTTCTGTCGGCCGACGGCGTTTGAGGCGCGACACAGTAGCGCCCCGTAGTCACGCTCGCTTGCAGCTCGATATCGCAGCTCACTTGCGGTGCCTCCTGTTGACACTGTCAAATTTATAAAAATAATAATAGATAAATAGATACTCTTTATTGTTTTTTTCCAAATGATACACAATAGTAAACTTATTATAAATACAAACAATTATAAGAAATGTTTCCACTGAGAAAACAATAGGCGACCTTATCGCTAAAAGCGATCTCTTCCAGGCAACTTTTGGATGGTGAGCAGTAATTATAAACAATTAGATCGCAGGTGTTAATATCGAATATAATATAAATTCTTTACTGCATTTGTAAATTACATGTAATAAATATTGTGAGCAAGGGTGGACTTATCTCTGACAGAGATCTCTTCCAGTCAACCTAATACAGTGAGAAAGCATGTCGTTAGCGGGCAGCTGAAGTGCTACAACTATTAATTCATAAACAAATATACAGTTGAATAAAATATTAAAATATATAATAAAATATTATATAAATACATATAATGTAAATAAATATAATACCTAGCTACTTATATAATAAATGTTAAAATAAATGAATATACTACCTACATTAGGAATTTAGTTTAATGATTTTAGGATCTGCTAGTTCATATTTAATAATACTTATTTCTTCAAAAATTTATTTATTTATGACTAGCTTTTACCCGCGACTTCGTCAACGAAATATACTATAAACATAATAATAAACGAAATATATTTCCAAAATAACTGTCAGGGGTGATTAGTGATCGATACTGATGCCAAAAATGCAATCAGTAAAATTTTGGTCTGTCTGTCTGTATGTTCGTTATAGAAACAAAAAATACTCGACGGATTTTAACGGAACTTGGTACAATTATTCTTCATACAGGCAGGTTATAGTATACTTTTCATCACGCTACGATCAATAGGAGCAGAGCAGTGAAGAGAAATGTGTCTGTTACATCAAAACCACTGAACCGTGAGGAAGGACATAGGCTACTTATTTTACGAAAAACAAAGGAAACGCGGAAGAAGTCGCTGGCAACAGCTAAGATAAAATAAAGTAATTTAAATAAAATAGGCTACTTCAATGATTTTGTTAGTGAACATATTCCAGTCACGTGGGCGAAGTCACTAGTCATCATCATCATCATATCAGCCTTTAACTGTCCACTGCTGAACACAAGTCCTCCCTTGGAAGGGTTTTCCAGTAGTTGCCACGCTTGGCAGTCGGATTGGCAACCGCAGTTAGGCTTTAGAGATGTTTTAAGAGGGACGCTGCTGCCCATCCCTCGCTCTCCCTTAGTCGGCTCTTACGACACCCACGGGAAAGAAAGGGGTAGTCTATGCCGGGACCATGCGAAGTCGCTAGTATGAGCTAGCAAATAAATAGAAACAAAAAACTGTCAATAGAAATAAAGTAAATAACAAATAACTCCCTTCAGAACAAATCCGTCATTGTAGCTAATTTTCTCTTTCTCTCACAATGTATTACATTATTTTTCTGTACAATAAAGTTCGTAAACAAAAAAAAAACAAACAAATATAAAAGATTTATTTGCGGCTACAACTATAATAACTCAAATAATCACTCAAGGTGTATTGTAACAAAAGTCACATCCGAAAGAAACGAGATGTCAAAGTTCGTATGACTTTGAGACGGTAACAATGTTTAACTCTTATGGGAGACTCAAGTTAGACACACCATGCATAAAATAAGACCACATCAGAGAGGATAAAATTCTACGAACGAAAGTTTATCCCTTCAATAGTATAATATTTAGTGATTTAAAAATAAATAAATTTAATAATTTCAAGTAATCCCCCGCAACACCTGTACAGACCTTCATAAACTGTAGCAAAGAATCATAGCTATCACGTCAGATTTCAAATGAAAACTTAATTTTTTTTATACCACTGACGTGGCAATTAAGCATATGAGCCACCTGATCGTAAGCGGTTATCGTAGCCTATGAACGCCTGCAATACCAGAGGTATTACGCGTGCGTTGCCGGCCCTGAAGAAACCTCTTTACTCCCCTTTCGAAGAACACCATGCTGTAGTCTTTTGGGAAAACCTCGGCAGGGAGCTCATTAATTATAATTAGTCCATTCGTTTATGAGCTTTCTTTAGGGTTATAGAGGTTCCTTCAGGATCGGCAACGCACGCGTAATACCTCTGGTATTGCAGGTGTTCATAGGCTATGGTAACCACTTACCATCAGGTGGGCCGTATGCTTGTTTGCCACCTTACTGGTATAAAAAAAGAGCTATTATTTAGATGTAACAGATACACACATGGATCCGTCAAACTTATAACACATCTCATTTTGCATCGTAGGTTAATGATACGTGCATTACTTCGATGCATTTAATATTGTTTAAGTGAAGCAATATTGTATATATTATATAGATATAATATATAGTTTTAAAGAAAATCTGAAATATTTTATTTTATTATATTTAGAATGGTCAATTTCATGTTTTAGTCTTTTAATCTTCAAACTTCACCCCTCAGGAAGTCATTACCCAAAAGCATACGTAACCTCTCTCTAAGAAATTATCCTTTAAGAAGAGCGTTCATTAAATGAATTCTTTAAATCAAAACAAGTAATCAAATAGGAAGTAGTTTATCGCATTTATATGTACATATATATGTATATTTTATATATATATATATAAATACTATATTATGAATGTCTGTATATATGTAATTTACCTTCTTATATTAAAATATAAATAATTTTATTTTTTTAACGCCATCGAGTATCTCAGTACATCTTAAAGGTTGATTTGTAGAAAATGCCTATAAAGTAAGCCTTTTATACCATATTTTCTTGGTCAATAAAATTTCAATACATAAAATAGCAAATATAGACACAGCTCACCTGATAGAATGTGGTTACCGTCGCCTATAGACACAAATAACACCATAGACTTCACGGAAATCGTTATGACGTCCATAATCATAGTGTAACAAGAAACATTTATATTTATTTTCGTGCTTTATTGGAAACGATAACAAAAAAGATATTAATTAAATGTCAATACGGAACAAAATATTTTATTTGTCACAGTAATTACACTTTGCGGAACAAAGCTCAGCGGGAAGCACGTCGGCTGGCCACGTGACTATTTCTAATTTGTATTTCGCAGGACCAAGTACAATAGTACTCTATTGCTTCTGTGCAATATTATAGGAAATTATTTTGATTTTTATCATTATTGAGTTAAATATGAAAGTGAGTTGCTTTGTTACCTCTTAGCATCTTAATGACTCAATTAATTGTGATAAATTTATTATACATACACTATATTAGACAGAAATGCGCATAAGTTATTATTTATCTGATCAATCAATATACGCTAGTTATTGACATTTAATTTTTTTTATACCACAGGGGGCAAAAGAGTATGCGACTCACCTACAAGAAAGTGACTACCGTCGCCCATGACCACTTGCAAAACCAGAGGCATTGCAGATGTGCTGCCAACCTTGTATTTTTATTTATTCTTTAATTTAATTATAATAAAAATACCACCGGACAAAGCGTCAACTAGTCACAAACTATACAGAGCGTGTTCTGTAGCTATTAATCAACCGAACGAAATTTTCAAATATTTTTTTTAAATATCATACAATTATATATAAAGATTAACAATCAACTAATCAACAATAAAAAAAAACACACACACTTATGAATATGAATAAGAACGTTGTATTGCGCGGGAATTCAATCTGTAATTAGTACTAAGTATGGCGATATATAACCAAGACCACTAGAATTATTAAATATTATTATATTAGCAAAAATAATAAACATCACCAAAGCTGTATTGTAGAAAACGTAAAAGAATATTTGTATATCTGCGTGTCATTCGAAAACGCAAACAAATGTCAATGCGGAACAAAACAATTAATTTGTCACAGTAATTACACTTTCCGGAACAAAGCTCGGCGGCGAGTACGCCGTCTAGCCACGTGACTTCTAATTTCACTATTTTGCACGGCGGAGTTGTAAATTAATTTGCTATGTGCCATATGGATGAAAGAACATCCAAGTATCGTACAATTTGAGATTTGCTCTCTACTGCTTTATTGGAATATTTTACAGAAAAATGTTCTGCAACGAAGTTGCGATTAAGAAATAGTATGTTTGTATAACGTTTGAGGCTTTTATGAATAAGAAACCAGTTTATATACTACTGCGACTGTAAAGGTCATGTGTTCGAATCTGGCTGACACCAAAAATTTTGTCAATTAATTTTTTTTTTGGATGATGGGAAACAATGATATAATGGAGGAAGGACAGGGAAGGGATTGTTTTTAATGAGGTCTGACATTTTCATTGCTAGAAATATATCCTATTGGGTCGACTTCCACGTGGTTCCTTCTGGAAATCATCGTGGTTAATTCGGAATCACAGTTAGGTTTTGGTGATGAACATTAGAATCCAACCTGATACAAGCCAACCTTCATTGCTCGGATTAATTTGGATTTATATCAAGTCTTTTTTTTTAATAGATGAGAATGAAATTGTAACCCCCTGAACTAACGGTATACGCTGGGGGAAAGGGATTATTAGTAATGGGTAATAAACCAAGACACAAAAAGACCCATTGCTAGCAATATACCTTATCAGGTCCACCTCCACGCGGTTACCCCTGGAAACCATCGTGATTAATTCTTGTTAAATTTTTCACGATGGGCCAACTGACCCGCCTTCATCTTCGCCTATCATCTATCACTGGTGCCCCGCCAGTATATACCGATAACGCAGACGGGGTTACCATTCCACTTTCATCTATTAAAGAAAACGATATAAACTGGCTGGCGGGTCACCCGTGAAGAATGATATATGGGAATGAAAGCAGGTAAGCTGACCCATCTTGACGATTTCAAGAATAAATGAGCACGATTGTTTCCAGATTCCTCCTGGAACTCCGCGTGGAAGGAAACCTAATAGGATTTATGCTAGTATTGGAGTTATTAACAATCACTTTGCCCCCCCTCCTATTCAATGTATAGGATGTAATGATGACCAAATACCAACCGTATCTAGCAGGCGAGACCTGGAAGCTCTCGCCACTGTTGTTGAACTGCCAGTAGAAGGTGACGTCGGCTGGGTCAGCGCTGACCGTGCACCGGACCCTCAGAGGCTCGTCCAGCCTGGCACCGATCAGCACGGGGGAAGGCTGCGCGCATACTGGTGCGTCTGGTAACAATAAATGAAAATATTAAACCAATTTTGTTAAAATTTACATGAGACTAGTCTGTAAGTATATCTATTCAGATAAAAAAAAAAAGAATTTTCCAAATCAGTTTAGAACTGATGGAGTTATGAGGTAATATAAGAAATATCAATAAAAAAATACAACCGAATTTAGAAACTCTCTCTTTTGAAGTCAGTTAAAAAGAAACAATATTATTATATTATAAATTACTACAAATGTACCAAATTCAGAAATAATGAAATTTACTATAACCTTTTTGATAAATAAAATATTAATAGAAAGTTTTTTTTATTCAACTTAGAATGGCAAACAAGCTGATGGCCCATCTGATGGAAAGTGGTAACCGTGGCCTATAGACATAAGCAGGACAGTAGACATAACAGAGTATACTGTTTCCCCCATGCGTTACCATTCCTGAGGAGTCAGGCCACCCTTCAAACCAAAACGTAGCCATGCAAACACAACTGCTTCACGGTAGAAACACGAATAGGACAGAGGTACCCAAGCAAACGACTTATATATATATGTACACATACATATGTTATATGGCGTGATAAGGTATCTTACATTGCACTCTAAGATAAACGGCTTGGCTGCTGGACTCCCCCATCTGGTTGGCGGCTCTGCAGGTATACAGTCCACCATCTCTCCTGGCCACCCTCTGGAGTACCAAGGACTTAGTGCTGATGAATACTCCAGATGACATGTTCTGACTTACTTGGACATCCTGGAAATTAGAACTGATTTGAACATCTTAATATTAGAATTATAAATGCATAAGGTTCTTTAAAAAGGATGTAAAAAGATTTCTTCAGGGTCGGCAACGCGCACGTAACATCCTTGATGTTACAGACGTCTATAAGTTATAATAAATTTGTTTACCATCAGACGAACCGTATGCTTGTTTATTACGATATATAAAAAAATCGAAAGCATGTGTGATGTTTGGATATATCGATGTTTCATAAACGACTGATCAAATTTGAATGAAATTTTGCACACGGATAGGGTAAACCCTAACTTAACATATACGATACTTTATATACTAATTCAGATAAAACCGCAGGATTAGACATGAGCAGTACCGTGGATATAACACTGTTTCGCCCATGATACCTCCCATGCGTTGCCATTTCTGAGGAATCAGGTATTATTTCTCTGTACCCAGTAAATTCACGCCATATCCCACCCTTCAAACCGAAACACAGCCATGCAAACACAACTGCTTCACGGTTGAAACACGGATGGAACAGAGGTTCTCATGCAGACGACCTGAACAAAGTCTCCATCTGATAAACACCGTACCAAAAACGCTAATTACACGATGGTGTTGTCATAATCATAGCTGTGACTAATGGAAAACATTCCGGCGACTATTTTGAACTATTTTTAGTAATAATGAATGCTCGACATTGATCGGCCCACATTAAATATTTTGTAAATATTTTATTTATAACCCTTATTTCAAAATCATTAACAGACAGTCGTTATCTATTTTTATCTGTTTAAATACCAGAGGGAGACTTTGTACAAAAGTCGTTTTGCTTGGGCAACTCTGTCCCTTTCGTGTTTTTACCAGTTGTGTTTGCATCACTGTGTTTCAGTTTGAAGGGTGGGATATGACAGTGAATTTAAGTGTACAGAGGAATAACACCTCAGTCCTCAGGAATGGCAACGCATGGGGGTATCATGGGCGAAACAGTATACTCTATTATGTCCATGGTACTGCTCATATCTATAGGTGACGGTTACCACTTTCCATCAGGTGGACCGTCAGCTTTTGTGTTCCACAAAAAATACCGACTTCAATGGAGGCAAAACGAGTTATTTTATTTTTAAATTGACTTATAAAATAGATTGTGATAAAATTTCTATGGAACTAATCTGTAAAAATATCCTTTCGGATAAAAAAGGAACTTCCCAAATCGGCACAGAACTAATAGAGTTATGAGATAATGAACATAAAAAATTTAAAGTCTCCTTTTTTGAAGTCGGTTAAAATACAACTTGATTACACAGTTTTGAGAGCAAAACGGACAAGTGACTGGCTATAGTATAATAGATGCCTCACGGTTTTGTAACACGCCCTCTTAGATTATATAGATAGAGCATCGAGCCTCAAAAACGCATCAACTTTTTGTCAGCTAATTGTCAAATTAGCTGACAAGTTTCTTTTTTTTTTTTTTTTTTTTCTTTTTTTGTGGCGTTCACCCCGATATTAGGGTATTTTGCCAAGAACATAACGGGGAAACGATAATAGTAATAAAAATACCTAACACAAACGAATTTAGAAAGGATAAGGATTAGGTCTAGGATATTTATAGGATATGAAGGATATACTTGTACATATGAGAATATACTTATAAATATATAGGAAAAGCAATTGATGCAACTATAAATGTATTCATGTAATATAACTAAATCTTAATATTGTTATCATATATATATGAAGATAGTATTTTATAGATAATAGGATCATTGGAAGAAAGTAGAGTAAGAATAGAAGTTGGGAATGGAACACGGATGGATCGGAGATGATTAAATAGGGAGGTGTGGTCAAATTTAGAACATGAGAAGAATATATGATTCAAGTCCGCCACTTCAGCACCGCAATTACACGACGAACTTTGTACAATACCAAGCTTGTATAAATGAGAAGGTGTGCATACGTGACCTAGACGCATACGAGTTATAATAGTTGTTGCGGTCTTTCCAAGCTTTAATTTACAAAACCATGGTTTGAAAGGAATATCGGGTTGTATAAGGCGATAAAATCTTCCTTTTATATATAGGCATACCTTAAATATATTTTTGGGAGACAAGCCAGGTCACTACAGTAATTATGATACGGATACATATCACCACAAGTTACAGCCTCTCTTGCAATAAGGTCAGCTTTGTCATTGCCGCTAATACCACTGTGTCCTGGTAACCAGGCAAAAGAAACGGAATACCCTCTCAACATGCAAAGATAAAGACCTTGTCTTATATCACAAATAATGGGATAAACTGGTTTTGATTTAAACGGATATTTGGCTAGAGCTTGCAAAGAGCTCATAGAGTCAGTGAAAACTATTGCCTTATGTAATTTCATTAAAAGTATATATTCTACAGCTTTTAAAATACCATAACATTCCCCGGTAAAAACTGAAGACTCCGGTGGAAGTTTAATTTTTTGAACGATATTAAATTGTGAATGAAACACACCCACACCAACACAACCGCTATTGTCTGGTTTTGATGCATCAGTAAAGATGTAGTGCCATTCATTCCATTCAATGTCAGTTATAAACATAAATTTGGCATTCAATTCTGAATCATTTTTTGATAACCCAAAATCATATTTAATATTAGGAGATAAAACTAAAGATTGATATGAGCATTTATAAATATATATATATATATATATATATATATATATATAAAGATATATATATATATATATATACGAAAAAAGAAGCGATCAGATAGATATTGCCTTCTTAAAACCAAAGGTGGATCACCGACTTCGAGCTGTAAAGCATTGATTGGACTTGATTTCATTGCTCCAGAGATAATCCTCAAGGCCTTTGATTGAATTAAATCCAATTTCTTAAAAGCAAATGAACTTCCTGGAGCTAACAAAAAAGTTCCATAATCAATGACACTCCTTATAAGACCATTATAAGCAAGTTTTAGTGAAACGGGATGTGCTCCCCACCAAACTCCAGCAAGGCACCTAAGAATGTTGAGGTTACGCTCACATTTCGTGGAAATATAATTACAGTGGGACAGACCTGTTAATTTATTATCTAGCACAATACCTAAAAATTTAATTTCAGTCTTTATAGGAATGTATGAGTTATCATAAAGCACCTTAATTTGTTGCGGTGATCTCATTCTTGAAAACAAAACTACACTACTCTTGGTTACAGAAAGATTAAGACCATTTGCATCTAACCACGTTTTTAACAAATCTAATGAATCAGATAATTTGGCAGAAGCAGATTCTATGGACTTCGCAATAAAATATAATAAAAGATCATCAGCATATTGTAAAATTTTGACGGATTTATCAAGGAATAATTCTAGATCGTATGTGTATATGTTAAATAAGATTGGACTAAGAACAGATCCTTGTGGAAGGCCTTTCCATACAGTTCTAGATAATTTGGTATCTTCATCTAAATCCATATGTATTGTTCTTTCTGATAAAATATTAATAATGAAATTAGAAAGCATTACCGGTACATTTAGAGCTTGTAATTTAGTTTTTAAAATAGAAATTATTACATTATCATAGGCAGAATTTATATCTAAAAAGGCTGAGAGGATTGACAAATTTTGTGAGAAAGCTATATGAATATCTGAAATAAGAATGCTCACATTATCTAAGGTGCTCTTACCTTTCCTAAAACCAAACTGGTTCGGGGATAGTAAGTTATTACTTTCTAAAAACCATTCTAGACGGTTTTTCACTAAATGTTCAGCTAGCTTTAGTAAGACAGAGGAAAGTGCAACAGGACGGTATGATGATGGTTCAGAAGGTGGTTTATGAGGCTTTAGAAATGGTATAATAATCTGAGACTTCCATGAAGTAGGTATATTTCCCGAAATAATTATGGAATTAATTATATTTAAAAAGTAAATTAATGTCGCATCGCTAGCATTTTTAAAAAAGAATACGGTATACCGTCTTTCCCGGTGCAGAGTCTTTAATAGAAGCTAGAACACCTTTAAGTTCTACTAGAGTAAAAGGAGAGTCAAGTTCGAATAATTCGTCAGAGACGGATAGAGAAATATTGTAAAGGCATTCCGGCACATAACTAGGAGCAAGGCGATCTAAAAATTTATTCGCTAAAGTTAAATCGAGTGCAGAACGTGATGTATGATCACTAAAGGCAGATCTGAATCTTTTAATATTATTCCAAACGACTGATGAATTAACTTCTGGACAGATAGAAGAACAAAATCTTCTCCAGCCTTCTAATTTCTTTTTTTCAGTAGTTTTCGAGTAGAACGTGAAACTGCGGTGTAAATGTCAAAATTTTCTGTTGTCATGTAATTATTATAATTTTTTTCAGCCTCTTTACGATTTTTAATTGCTTCCGAAATCTTTGTCCCACCAAGGTGGGGAGGGAATTTTCCTGAAGCACTATTTTTAACAGGAAATAATAAATCAGCAACCTCCTTCATATTTATCATCAAGTCATTACAACATTGATGTTCATTTCCATGGTAAACAATAGGTAACTCCGATATTTTATTATCTAAATATTGTTTGTAAATATTCCAGTCTACATTTGATAAATTATATTTAAGCCGAGGACCACTCTTTCGACTTGAGGGAATGGAAATTGGAAAAGAAAGAATGAGGGGAAAGTGATCGCTTCCGAAGGTAGAGGAATGAGGATACCACGACAGTGAAGAAGCTAAATCAGAAGAACATATTGAAAAGAGCACTAAACCCTTCATTTGGTGCAGTTCTACGTGTTGGTACATCTGAGTTAATAATACATAAGTTGTAAGTGTCAATTATCGTCAGGAGTTTTCCACCATAAAAATTAGAAGTAGAACTGCCCCACGATTGGTGTTGAGGATTAAAATCGCCCATTACGAGAAAAGGTTTAGGTAAAATTGAAAATAATTGTTCTAGTTGTGAATATATTTGGCATGTAGGATCAGGAATATATAAAGTAACAAAACAGATACCATTTATAATTATAGCAGCTGCATTAATGCCGCTATATACAGGAAGCGAAAAAGAAGAAAAAGGAAGGGAGTTTTTGACCAATATGGCAACACCGCCATATCCGTCAGCTCTATCATCACGGAGACTTGTAAAGCCTGAAATTAAAAGGATATCCTGGCTTTAACCAAGTCTCTTGAGAGCTATTATAAAAGGATTATATTTATTAATTAAATAAAATAAGTCTGATTTCTTGTTTGTTATGCTACGACAGTTCCACTGAATTATTAGGACTTTGTAATCCATTGTGAGAAGTTAATAATTGAGAAAATACATTGTAAATGGCATCGTTGGACGGTGGTAAAGTTGTTTGTATCATTTTCGATTGCGATAACACTTTAATAAGCATGAGAATAATATCAAAGATGGATTGATTATTGTCAATATTATTTGATGATAATGCACAACCATTAGAGGGAGCAGGAATATTATATTCCTTAACTATGGCTTCATGGGCAGAACGATCATATCCTTGTTGTGCTTTTTGAGGAGAGCGTGGTTTAAGTGTAACTGTTTTTTTATATGATGATTGAATATGTGGTAATGATGATTTCTCTTTAAGGAAAGAAGATTGAAAATGAGATTTATTGGACGGAGATGATGATGTTAATACATCTGAATATAGTTTAGAAGTGGGAGGATGAAATTTTGATGCTTCAGCATAAGAAACACAACTGTGGGCCATTGTTTCTTTAATGGCTTTCTGACGTGCATATTCAGGACATTTCTTACTAATTGCTGAATGAGAACCATTACACAAGATACAAGAAACATTTTCCTCATCTACTTCACATTTATCACCTGTATGATTTAGCCTGCATTTATAACATCGAGGATTTGAACGACACTGCATCTTGACATGTCCGAACCTACAGCAGTTATAGCATTGGATAGTGGGGTAAATGTACAAATCTACAGTTAATGATGTGTAAAACATAAATACTCTTTTTGGTAATATTTGTCCATCAAAAGTAATAACAATGGTTTCAGTATTAATAAAACTTGGTTGTCCTTCATTAATGGTCTTTTTCTTAATTCTTCTGGTTTTTAGAATTCTCCCACAACCTATAGGTACTGATATATTTTGGATTACTTCCTCTTCTGTCCAATCTTTAGGAATACCCCTCACAATTCCCATACGGGTTACATGGAAAGAAGGTATAAATGCCTTAAAATTATGTGTTTCTAATTGACTATTATTTAAAAATGCATTTGCATTTTCAAAATTTGAGAAAGAAAGCGATAAACGGTTTCTTCCTATTCTTTTGAGGCTACCATTCACTATATTATTTATCTTATTAGTGTGTAAAAAGCGACCAAATGCAATAGGATGTAATGTAGTGTTATCATTAGGATGTGTTTCATTTTTTTGTACATGAACGACATAAGGAGCTACATCCTCGGCATTGTACAAAGTTCTGCTTAAAGTACTGGGTGGAGAAGCAGGTTTAACAGACTCGGTATTATTTACAACTGGTATTGATACTTGAGTTTGATTCTCATCCTCAATACATTGACAATCACTATCTTTAATTTTAGATTCGAGACCTTTGGTGTGCCTCCTTCGTTTTTTATTGCAATGTTTGCAAATGCGACGTTCGCCACGTACTCGCTTACGTTTAGAACTTGCAACGCTAGAACCATCTGTGTCCATACTAGATTCACCCAATATATCAAAACTATTATTAAATGGGATAGTTATATTGCAGACACCTGGGGGGTTGTCCCCCCAGGGTCTATAGGTGGATCCATAATGTCTAGTTAATATAGGTAATTTACTTACCAATATTTACAGCAACAAACACTATTACTACAAAATATACAATTATATATACAATCTAATACACAATATATAAATAAGACTAATCCTTATATAATTAAAAATAAAATTAATTTAAAGAAGATCAAAAAACACTCCCGCTTTTTTAAACGTTTCCCGCGCTTTTTCGACAAGTTTCTTTCTTGTCACTGTTCTATATACTTGCGCATAAAATGTATCTTGACGTATTATTTAATAAATAAAATGAATGTTTACGCCCTAGAGAGATGCAGAAATTATAAGATAAAATAAATATAGAAGTTATAAGCGAATCACTCATAACTATTTATCGCGCACAATTGTATGAAAAAGTTGAGCCGTTCCTCTCGAAACATTTCTATGGAGACACTCTATCTATATATATAATCTAAGCACGCGATCGATCGTACAAAGAACACAAATGTTCGTGACTCACTCACGTTATGGTACCACGAGATCCTGTGCTCCTTGGGGTTCGCTCGGATGTTGCATTCGAAGTAGACGTCGTCGCCTTCCTTTATGTCGTTGGGGTTCAGTGTACTCCCCAGAGACATAGCTAGCACTGGTCTATCTATGGATATTATAATCTATATTAATAGAATGTTTTATATATATATATATATATATATATATATATATATATATATATATATATATATATATATATATATATAAAGCTAATCTTATGAATACTCTTAAGTAAAAGCATTCATGAGTTTAGCTTGACTAAGTGTGGAAAAGTTGCAATTATCTTTCAATAAAACCCTAATTTACAAGTAACCAAGTTTTATATCAATTATCACAGAAAGACTATTTTCTGAATGAAACTATAGTATGTTTCAATAGAACCTAAATGTACAAGTAACCAAGTTTTGTTTAAAATGTCAAAGAAAAAAAATTTTCTAAATGAAATTATAGTATATTTCAATAGAACCTAAATGTACAAGTAGCCAAGTTTTGTTTAAATTGCCACAGAAAGAATATTTTCTAAATGAAATTATAGTATATTTCAATAGAACCTAAATGTACAAGTAACCAAGTTTTGTTTAAATTATCACAGAAAGACTATTTTCTGAATGAAACCATAGTATATTTCAATAGAACCTAAATGTACAAGTAACTAACTTTTGTTTAAATTATCACAGAAAGACTATTTTCTGAATAAAACTATAGTATGTTTCAATAGAACCTAAATGTACAAGTAACCAAGTTTTGTTTAAATTATCAGAGAAACGCTTTTTAAATAAAATTATTATTATATATTATATTAATAGTAACAAATCGAAACATTCAATCAGTTTAATAAATTTATTATTTGCACTATAACCGTACATTAGCAGACTGTCAATCAATTATACGTTTATTTACATTTTCATTATATTCTATTGACAGATTATAGATTTTATTTAAACATACAATAGGATTGAAATTAGTTTGGCAAATACAACTGTCATTGGGAAGTAAGACGGACAGTGTCTTCCATATTTAAATGAATATTCTGGACATATCACAAATTAATATCAATAGACCATTTAGTCTCACATTAATAGGAGTTTGTACTATAATTACTGGATAACTGATAGACATATTTGAATACATAGAAAATACCCAGACCATACAAACAGCTATGAATGAAAAAAAAATATTTGTAATAAGATTCAACGGCCCCATTGCTAGCAATATATCCTATCACCTGATAGGGTATATTACGACCTTCACGCAGTTTTCCCTGGAAATCATCTTAGTTCTTTCTTGTAAAATTCGTCGCAAAAGGGTAAACTGGTCAGCTTTCATCTTCACCTATCATCACTCACTGGTGCCTCGCCAGCGTATACCGATAGCGCAGGCGAGCTTACTTTACCATTTTCATCCATAAAAAAAGTTCTGAATGAAACAACTAATTGACCCAAATATTAATGATTCTCACACGAATAAACCAGCTACCATTTGTGACAAGATTTTTTGGACTTTATCGTGATTGAATAAAGACTTACTGTATAGACTTGTATTGACATAGTTATAGTTATCTTAAAATGTTACTAGATGGCGTTGTATAATTCTCAAATTAAGAACAAGGAATTACATAGAAGGAATGATAAAATAAAAACTGCACATCATATAGTTGGCTCCTTTCTTCTTATGCAAATAAATAATTAGTAAAAAGAGGACGAAAGATACACCCTCAGTTGCTATTTTTCACAATTCATAGCAGGCTAGTGTATAGAATATATATGTCAATTATTTGTCAATGACAAATTTTACATTACTAGATTATATATTGGACACAGTTTATGTAGAAAGTATGCAAGCAGGTTGTATCTGAATTTGGTAGGGTTATTATACGGCCGTATAATATTTTCTATAGACTGGCCTGCTATGAATTGACAATTTTATCACTCCTTCTATGTAATTCCTTGTTCTTAGCTCTCAAATGCGCTATAATTGTTTTATCGGCACAAACAAAGTACGTATTATTGCAAATATCAAATTTTCTAATAGTCTTGGTACTTCCGTCTTACTATTTATTCACCTAAATATTTTTGGCCCTTATGCACTTACAAACAACACTCATCCGGAAGGAATCTTCTAGAGCAACGCTGAGTACCGGGTTATCCGCTCGGCACCGGATTATCGCGCCGTCGTCTTCAGGCTGCGGCAGCATGGTAAGCCGGCTCACTGTGGTCGTTTCATTTGTGTATTCATTGTGCTGATGAACAAAAATCATCAATTTAAAACATCACCAACGTAACTGTTTACAAATAAACCCACTTTAAAAACAAGCTATTGTCCGCGACTTTGTAGTGTCATTCATCATCATCATCATATCAAGCTTTAACTGTCCTTTGCTGAACATAACCCTCTCCCTTGGGGTGTTTTGCCAGTGGTTGCCATGCTTGGCAGGCGGATTGGCAATTGCGTTTAGGATTAGGAGATATTTTGCTTGACGCTGTCGCCCATCCCTCTCTCTTTTATGCCACGGGAAAGGAAGGGGTAGCCTATTTTATGCCGGGACACACACGGCGAATGTATGTATGTATTAACACATGTATGTGTTAGGTATGTTTGAATATTAAACAACGTTCTATCTATCTATCTATCCTATTTAAGAGCTGCGCTCTTGTAGGTGGAGCTCTTGCCACTCACTACGATTTTCAGCATGTCTCTTCATCTCTTGATACGACACGACACCAACTCATTCCTTGATCTGCCTGATGTAACTATGTCTCGGTCTCCCTCTCCCCCTCCTTCTTTCTATCTTACCTTCTATTATAATGTTCATAAGTTCGTCGTGTCGTATCAAGTGTCCTAACATTTTTCCCCTTCTGTCCTCAATAGTTCTAATAATTTGTCTTTTTTCCTTAACCCTAAGCAGGACCTCCTCATTGCTAATTTGATCCCTCCAGCTAATTTTCTCCATCCTTCTCCAGCACCACAACAACGTTAACAATATTAATTTGTCGGAACAAACATACAGACTGATAATAATTCTAAAAATATTGTTTTGGTTTCTATTGCTCTTAAATAGACGTTTTATACCAATTTCTCTTAAATATTGATCCGCTACGCTTAGCAGACGGATTGACAACCGCAGTTAGGCTTTGAAGATGTTTTAAGAGGGACGCTGCTATCTATCCCTCTCACTAAAGGGGCCAGCCGAGACCACACGGCAAATGAATATTATATAATTTTTATATACTTTTTAAATAAGTATGTTAAATTGTAAAATATATAACCTAGAGCCTATGTTTACAACAAAGTCTTGTTATTTGCCTGAAATTAACAATTTACCTTTCCTCTAGTGTATTTTCTGTTCTCCCTGTACCAAGTGATCTGTGCTGGTGGTCTACTGCCATGCGAGATGCAAACCAGCACGGTTTCAATGTCGGCCGACATCTGCACTGGTTTGTTTGTGATCATAACTGAAGTTGGACGCACTGTTCATAAAAAAAAAAAAATCATTATTGTACAAAAAAATTATATTAGAATAATAATTAAACATAATAGTGCGTAAGGGTGAGTTTATCTCTAAAAGAGATTCTTTCCAGCAAACCCAATACGAGAACTAAGAGAAAAAAAAGTTATTTTGTTATAAACAGTAAACTATATGACCGATTTGGATAAAATTTTTAAGGGATCAATCTCAAAGTCTATCTTTCCGATAAAAAAAAATCCAAATCGGTTTACAAATGGCAAAGTTATCAGGTAACAAACATAAAGAAATAAAAAAAAAATACAATCGAATTGAAGTCCTCTTTTTTTGAAGTCGGTTGAAACTAAAAGCACATGAATGTATTACTTACATCTCATCTCCACTCTGGCGGTCCTTTCATGAGGACTCAAAAGTGGAGTATTTGTAGCTTGACACCTTATACTGGTGTTCAGCCAACTCCTTTCAGCTCCGCCTACGCTGATCCTGCTGATGATGACCTTGCCATCATTCTTCAGGACTGTGTGGTCTTCCACTGGCTTGTTGTTGATCAACCAGGTTAGGGTCGGTTGAGGACGCCCTGATAAAGAAATGTTCATTATGTACTTCAAGCCACGTTTTTATGAGGAAGGTAGAGTAAACCAAATACCAAAGACTTTTACCAGTTTAGTATCTAGGATTGAGATAAAAAATCAAAGTTCAATTTTAAATTCAAATAATTTTTATTCGAATAGACTTGTTTACATATTTGTTTTATAAATGTAAAGTTCGGAAAGTTGTCACCTGTTGAGAAGAGTCCGCAAGAAACTCAACAGTTACTCTTTTAAATCTCTGTTAACATTATGTGTATTTATTTATATGTACTATGTCTCAAATTACATGGGCATTAAAAGCTGGTGCATGATCGACTAACACCATGCACATTTGTCATTCAAGTAATCGTTAATGTGCAATAGGTTTTGTTCAATAAGTATTTTTTAATAACAGTTTTAAAGTTATTAAAAGGCAGATACAAAATATCCTTCGGTATCTTTTTATAACATTTAATGCCTGTTCCCATAAAAGATCTATTAACTTTTTCTAAACGATACTTTGGAATTTATAACTCTCTTCTATATGATATACGAGTATATATCTACCAAATTTCATAGTGATTTATTAAGCCATTAAGGCTCTAAGAGGTTTTAAAACTATTTAACTAGAGGTTAAAAAACTAACGAATTTTAAACTAATAAATCCATTTTCATATTTATAATATTAGCAATGGCGTTAAAGTAAGTTCAATTGCCTCTTGGCTAAAAAACAAACTCACTTTTACTGAAGGACAGTGAGCATCCCGGTTCTTTTTTTTTATACAACTTAGAATGGCAAACAAGCTGACGGCCCACCTGATGGAAAGTGGTAACCGTCGCCTATAGACATGAGCAGTACCGTAGACATAACAGAGTATACTGTTTCGCCCATGATAGCCCCCATGCGTTGCCATTCCTGAGGACTCAGGTGTTATTCCTCTGTATTCTGCATAGCCAAAAAAACTACAAAATCGCGAGTGAAAGTTAGTTTATTTATATTAGTGACAATTATCTATTTGTAAGTTTCTAGATTTAATTCAATTTGTTTTTTTTTTTTTGTATATATTTATTAATAGATTTAAAGACACATAAGTTTTTAATTAATCTCCATTTAACGTGATGCAATTCAAACCTTTACACCCAAAATACAACCAATTTACAACTTCCCCGTAGAAATGCGTAACCGAAATAAGAGGAATGCGGTTTCGAGTCCCATCGAAGGGTTGAATTTTTCCATCTAATATTCAAGATTACGGAATGCATAATAAGGAATTTAAAATGTTTACAAAAATACACAACAATCCCCTCTGATGAACTGTGATGAGTAAGAGAAAATTCTACCGCCTCGTGAATTTATTATTACGCTTAATGGACATGATTGTGTTTGCCGCTAACTCTCTATTTGTTTTAATAACTTGCAATGGGGAAAATCTGACGGCTTATCTGATGGAACATGGCAATAGATAGATAGATATATAATTCATTTGCATTACTTACAGCAGAGGGAGACTTTGTACAAAAGTCGATTGCTTGGGTATCTATGTCCCATTCATGTTTCTACCGTGAAGTAGTTGTGTTTGCATGGCTGTGTTTCGGTTTGAAGGGTGGGATATGGAGTGAATTTACTGGGTACAGAGGAATAACACCTGAGTCCTCAGGAATGGCAACGCATGGAGGGTATCATGGGCGTAACAGTATACTGTATTATATCCATGGTACTACTTATGTCTATAGGCGACGGTTACCACTTTCCATCAGGTAGGCCGTCAGCTTGTTTGCCATTCTAAGTTGTATAAAAAAATAAAAAAAAAACAAATAACAGTAGACATAGATAGACATTTACATTTAAAACAGATAAAAGAATACATATCCGAAAAAAAAGGAAAATATCATAAAAAAAGTAAAATTTTTTTCATTCAATACATGTGTTTAATAATAATAATGTATTTGTGCAATCAAGTATAAATAAATAAATAATATTAAATTTATTTGACATCAAACTTAAGTACATACTTATATTCACACAACTCATACAAAATGATCTTTTTTTTTGTCTGATGGTAAATGGTGATAATAATATTTTACATGGATTAATATTAATTTTTTTTTGTCGTCTTTCTTGACTCTTATTTCTTTTATTTTATTGAACTAGGTGTGATTTTTAGAAATCTATATTATAGATTATTTAATTAGAATTATTTTGTTTAATTCCGCTACCGTTAGTATGTATGTGTGTGACTGCCAACACTCGTAGATTGACCACCACTAATACTACCAGAAGTTCCAAAATCTTTCATATTAGCTATTAATCTTCGACTGCCACTTTGTTTACGCACGTTTTGCGACACTTGTTTTTACGAGGCGTCATCAGGCAAATTATTAGGTCGGCCAAACTGTAAAATTCGTAGTTTGGGTTGGCAGTCACACACATACTAATGTTAGCGGAATTAAACAAAATAATTCTAATGAAATAACCAATCATATTTCTTTGGTGAAATTGTTTAGTTTCGCTGGTAGAACACTCCATTGAAAAGATACTTAAAGACTGTGATTTCACTCTGTATATATGTAAATACAGAATACTCTGTCCTTAATACCATATACTTCGTTTGAGACAATTGGCTCGTAGTATCAAATATTTCTAAGCCTTTTTATAAAGAACCCTGACATAGCTTACGGTAGATTTTCATAATCACGAATCCAATTTAGAGCAAGGAATGAGGATAAAAATTTTAGACATTCTAAATATAAAAAATTTAGAAGTGGAGTAATCCTATCATCGTCATTTCAGCCTGTATCTATCCACTGTTGGATATAGACTTTAGCTGACATGTACAATTCTCTATTTTTCTCACTGCGGGAGACACAGATTGGGCTTTTGCATTGGAGAATTTATGTCCATATGGCAACTACTATCAAAAGTTCCCTTATGGGGTAGGCCTACGTTCAGCAGTGAACAGTTAACGGCTGACATAATAATAAAAAAACATCATCATCATCATCATCTCAGCCATTATCCGTCCACTGCTCGATATAGGCCTCTCCCATAGACTGCCATAAAAAAACCGTCTTGAGCCACCTGTATCTACTGACTCCCTGCAATGCATTTGGGGTCGTCACTCCAACTAGTGGGGGATCGTTCTACACTGCATTTGCCGTTTACTTAAGAACCTTACTTCTTCATTGGTTGCCGGTTCTTCAAACTATATGATCAGCCCATTGCCACTGCAGATTGCTTATTCTTCGGGCTATGTCGGTTACTTTGGTTCTTTTGCGAATATCCTTCTTTTAGAATCTAACACGTAAAGAAACTCCGAGCATATCTCTCCCAACAGCCCATACACCAAATATACAGATACATAAAAATGAAATACAAACATACAAAGCTGAGCTTAATACTACACAAGTTTTCTTCTAGTATAGCTAAAATGTGTGCCTTGGCATAGAATGCCAAGAATAGGACCACTCATCCCTTCCTGTGGATGTCGTAAAAGGCGACTAAGGGACGGCGACGGATGGGCAGCATGCGTCCCTCTTAAAATATCTCTAAAAGCCTAACTGTGGTTGCCAACTCGCCTGCCAAGTGTGGCAACAACTGACAAAAATCCCTTTATTAGGAGAAAGTTGCTGGACATAAGTCCAGGAGTGTACATGTAACGGATGAAATAATAATAACATTCAATGTGGAAGCAAACATCGGTCTCAGCGGATAGTTGCTATTCAAACTATTGTGCTATTCAAACGGATTGTGCTCAGAGAAATTATTCAATATGATGTCTACGGCCACTTTTTATCATCGTACGGCTCGCTATCGACAGGGAGTTCATCCTCATACCATACAGCCTAAACGGTCGCGTACAACGCGGTTTCAGAGATGTTTTCTCCCACGAACACTCAGGTTATGGAATGAGCTCCCTGCCGAGGTTTCCCCAAAAGACTACAGCATGGGGTTCTTCAAAAGGGGGGTAAAGAGGTTTCTTCAGAGTCGGCAACGCGCACGTAATGCCCCTGCTATTGCAGGTGTTATTATAGGCTACGGTAACCTCTTACTATCAGGTGGGCCGAATACTTGTTTGCCACCTCAGTGGTATAAAAAAAAAATTAAAAATCCTCACCAGAGGGAGACTTTGTACAAAAGATGATTGCTTGGGTACCTCTGTCCCATTCGTGTTTCTACCAACTGTGAAGCATTTGTGAAGCAGTTGTGTTTGCATGGCTGTGTTTCAGTTTGAAGGGTGGGATATGGCGTGAATTTACATGGTACAGAGGAATAACATCTGAGTCCTCAGGAATGGCAACGCATGGGAGGTATCATGGGCGAAACAGTATGCTCTGTTATGTTCATGGTACCGCTCATGTCTATAGGCGACGGTTATCACTTTCCATCAGGTGGGTCGAATACTTGTTTGCCATCTCAGTGGTATAAAAAAAATATTATAAAAAATCTACACACTGAAGGTATGGAATCTTGTTAATATGATATTGAGACATTATTGCTCTTATTCACTTTACAGACTTATCCCTTATTTGTCAAAGGCCGTTCATCTCACTTGTAAAATATGGCGACGCTGATTCCAAGAAGCGATTGGCATTAAATCTTCACAATTCATAAGATTCTCAGATCTTATCAGCATATTTTTAAGGTACGTCAAAAGGGAAAGTCGTTTGATTTTTTTTCTCAACTGATTTCCTAAAAAACTCGTTTAATTTGAATGTATTTTTGTATGATTGATGAGGAATAGACAGTAAGGTTATTGAGTGTTTCAGGTATTTTTTTTTATACAACTTAGAATGGCAAACAAGCTGACAGTTTATTAATCTATATCTATATATATCAGTCTAGTAATGCGGACTATCAGTCCTATTGCTAGTAATATATCCTATCAAGTCGACCTTCACGCGGTCCCCCCTGGAAACTTTCGTGCTGAATTCCATATGTATTCATCACGTTGGGCTAACTGATTTGCCGTTTCATCCTCACCTATCATCCCTAACTGGTCTCCCGCCA